AGCCATGTTTATACAAATGAAGCGGGGGATATTTAAATCCCCCACTTCATTTGCAATTCCGACTTGTCTCATCTGCATCCCTTTTCCGGAAAAGGAGTGCAGTGTAGACACAGCCTGAGAGTGTATATCAGCCAGGGATAGGAACTGATGGAGAGAAGAGGAACAGAGAGAGCGGGGCCTCAAGGAAGGAGTGGGGTCTTGGGGAAGGGATGGGGTAGATCTTGGCTTGTCCTGACATTTAAAAAGTGATCTTGGGTGTAAAAAGGTTGGACTGCGTCTACATTGGCAAGATTTTGCGCAAATACTTTTAACGCAAGAGCTTTTGCGTTAAAGTATTTGCGCAAGAGAGCGTCTACACTGGCAAGTGCTTTTGCGCAAGAGATGTGCTTTTGCGCAAATGCATCTGTGCCAGTGTAGACACTCTCTTGCGCAAGAAAGCTCTGATGGCCATTTTAGCCATCAGGCTTTCTTGCGCAAGAAATTCATGTTGCCTGTCTACACGGGCCTCCTGTGCAAGAACAGTTGCGCAAGAGGGCTTATTCCTGAGCGGGAGCATCATAGTTCTTGCGCAAGAAGCACTGATTTCACAAATTAGAACGTCAGAGTTCTTGCGCAAGAACTCCCTGCCAGTGTAGACAGGCAGCATGTTTTTGCGCAATGTAGACACAGCCTTGGAGACCCCTAGTCTAGACAGTGCTTGGTCGTGCCGTGAGGGTAGGGGACTGGACTTGATGACCTCTCAAGGTCCCTTCCAGTTCTAGTGTTCTATGATTCTATCTCCACTTGTGATTTACCTCAACTCCTATATCAAAGTAAAATTTAGTATCTTGTCTCCACCGGAGTGTTGCATTGAGATAAACTTGTTGGTGTAAAATCACACTTTGTTGGGGTGAGAAGACATGTCTTAAATGAAAGCATCCAGCTATAAAGCCAGCACAGAGGGCTGTTTTCAGCTGTGGTTTTGAAAGGAAATGAGCAGGCAATGAGGCAGGGACAGAAGGAGATTGTCCCTAACTGGTTCAGTTCATAAAACAAATATGTGGGAGGACCACAAAGAGGCTCTCGTGCTTCACACGCTCCACTTCCCCACCCTCGTGTCCCGCCCAGACACCAAGTGGCGGGACCTCCTACCACCAATGGAGGGTGGGGAGCCCCGGTGGGCCAGCCTCTATTCGACCTTGGTTCCACGGCCCACCGGGGACATCAGCTGGAGAATCCTGCATGGCGCGGTGAGCACGGGCGTGTACTTGGCGCGGTTCAACCCCACCCCCGACACGTGCCTCTTCTGTGGCATGAGGGAGACACTGGCGCACATCTACATCGAGTTCGCCTGTCTCCAGCCCCTCTTTCGGCTCCTCCAGAACCTCCTCTTGCGGTTCTGGCTGCACTTTTCCCCCCACTTGTTAATTTACGCACATCCCATCCGTGGCCCCACAAAGTCACGGGACCTCCTGGTCAACCTCCTCCTAGCTATGGCTAAATGGGCAATCTATAAAACCAGGGAGAAGAGGTTGGCTGGGGGAGGGGCCTGCGACTGTGGGGCCTATTTCCGTTCCTGCATCCGCTCACGTATCCGAGCAGAGTTCCAATGAGCAGCGTCCACTGGCTCTCTTGAGACCTTCAGGGGGCAGTGGGCGCTGTCCGGGGTTCTCTGCTCGGTATCCCCATCTGGTTCCCTCGTTTTAACCCTTTGACTCTCATACCTGTACCTGTTTTTTTATTATTTGTCCCCTGTAATTAGTTGGCTTTTCCAGTTTCTGTGGACCATCCCCCAGGATGGGGGGTGGTCTTTTAGATGTGGGCGGGCTAATGCCCGCCCACCTCCTGGATGCCAAATAGTACAAAGAGGCTGTATGAGAGGCAAGTACAAAAGTGGCAATGTCTACAGTAAGGATTAAATCCAGCAGCTTCCTGAGTCCTCTCTCCCCATCCTGTGAGGCTCCCCAAAGGGAAGGAGGTTACAATATTGCCCTATATCAGCTAGAAATGTACCCAAGATGCAAATCAGGGATTGAGTTCGGAGTCTGGCTCCCTTGTTCCCTGCAGTTATGGGCTGTTAAGACCTGGAGCTGTGACTCAGCCTGTTAGCTGCAGCATTTGTGCCAGATGTTGGACTCTGGGTCTCACCCACCCTTCCTAGCAAAGCAGAGGGCATTCACAGCCAGGATTTTTGCCTGGTGGCTTAGAGGGCCAGCCAGGCTAACAGCCAGGGCCCAGCTTAGACACCCACCTTCCCTCCCTCATTACCAGGTATTCGGGACCCGGGGAGGGAGGGCTGGGGCCAGGACAAAGGTACTGCACCCTCCAGAGCGGGGTGCCCAGGCACCAGGGTGATGGGCACCAGAGCTTGGCTCAGAGAGTGGAGGGGTGCACTGTGAGACCCCCCAGGGCCGCCTGGGGGGGATCCAGCCCCAGGGCAGCGGGGGGACCTGGGCTGGAGTCAGTGCCTGCAGGGGGAGGGGCTGCCCCATCGCCCGCCCGCGGGCCGGGCCCCG